TCTGCAGCTTCTGTAGCTTCTAAAACGTTTGATAGCTCTTCTTCTGGGATATCATCCCAGAGGACATCATAAATAGGCATTTCTTCGTTCATTGTTCTTGAAAATGAATGATAACAACAACAAATGCAAACGGCGGGAAAAAAGAAATTTTTGACGCGCGCGAGCGTGTTTTGATACTGTAATCAAACATGGTTTTCGACCAATCACAGCGCGCGTAGTATCCTAAATATTTTAGAAAGTTTAATAATGTTCTAAAGTGCGTATGGTTTAATCCGATCCAGTCATCATCCCTTTCTTTTGTTTCGATCTTTTTAATCGTAAAATGATCGAGATTGAATCGTGAAAAGATCGGGAACTAACCGGGTAAAGGCCTAACAAAATCGCCTGCGACGATTCTAAAATCTGTTATACACAAATAATGTAAACTGACGTTATTTACATTGATATTGTATGGTACTGGCCGARCCAACTCGCTGTCTCTTACGTGATTGCATGGTGTCAAAAAAACTCTTAATGTCCTCAGGAGTAACGACCTGCATTGAAACAAAGTTATGCATTACACCAAAAATACTCAAGAAAGAACTGTTCTCATTTTCAATTGGCGTCATCGAGGTCATTTTGTTGATGTACACCAACAAAAGATTTCTGTTCAGCTATTMAACATGCTTGTACCGCGCATTAGTATCAGGCATTCATTTTTAAGAGCGAGCGCGAGCACGAATGAGCGATAGGCAATATGCAGCGACGCCATTTTGTGCAGCAATGCATGATGGTAGTTGTAGTCCTCGCACTTTTCATACGGGCCCTAAAATATTTCCTTAAAAGCCGTTTTGACATTTTCTTTATAGAAACGGCGAGAAACGGCACAAATACTATTATTTTCGCTTAGAAAAAGCAAAAACTGGTTAGGAGGACTGTTTTAGCGGACAAAAAAAGTACGAGGATTACAACTACCATCATCCTTTGCTGCACAAAAAGACGTCGCAGCACATTGCCTATTGGGTAACAAATTTAATATTTTTCGTTCGTAGGATTTTATACCATACCTTCCCTTGGTCAGCAAATTCTCGTAGGTACTCTGTTAGCTCATTCTTTAAGTCGTTGTAGCCTGAAAGATTAAGCGACAACGTTGATTAGCGCAAAATTAAAAGTATGAACTTAGACGTAAAGACAAAAAAWTTTTAATGCGATACGATACAAATGCACCAATAGTTGCAGTGCTTGAAATAATCCTTTTGCGGTTATACTAGTAAAACAAGTTGCGCAACGAGCCTGTGGTCTTGCACAGCAAGGCAGAATCAKGCACTAACCCAAATAGTTGTCATTTTTGAGCTTGTTTATATCCCTTTGCAACGTCAGGAAAATAATTTTTGTTGACGAAGAAAGTCATAATTTTGATATTACTTGGCATTCGAGTTCATTGAGGACTGCAGCAAACATGTTTCCCGCTTTGGTTTTAACCGCGATCTTTAAGTCAACTAGTGCCACATCCAATATAGCGAACCGCCTATTTGTTTCACTTTTGTAAATACCATCTCATGTTTTATACTGCACACAAAAAAACAACAAAAACAAAAATAAAGACATTGTAAAATAACCCTCCATATCCTTGTTGCAAATGCTCACCGTGTATTGCTTCTACTTGGTTTATTCTTTGCATGTTGCCAAGTGCCTGCATCCCACTTTCATAGGCYGACATTTTCTCAGCTTGACTTACTTTCCCTCGCTCTTCATATGCCACCATTGTATCTTGATCATCCAGTAAGAAAGAAACTCCATTAGACTTGTACAAAGCCTGAAGAACAAACATTATACAATATTGTGTCCATGTTGGCCTTTTCTGAGATAGCAGGGTCCGTGCAGAGTATCAAAAACGAAATTTCAGCACTTTTCAAGGATTTAAGGACCTGCACGGACCCTGATTGTGGTCTAGATCAAACATCTTTTGTTCATTGCCGGATTTCAAACCGTGGGGGACTGGACAAAATCCCCTAATTGGATAATCATACATAACATAAGAGTTTCATATAAAGAAAGCTCTTATCAGAGAAATGCAAAATTCCAAAATTTGCAATGTACGTGATCTCGCGAATTTTTCCGGAAAATGGTCAAAATTCGGACACATTCGCGGCTTGAACTCATTGTCAACAGATTTTGGAATTTTGCATTTCTCAACAAGGCCTTTCTTTCTATTTAAGTCTTATCTCATGATTATCCAATCCCACGCTTTGAAATCCGGCAAAACTGCCAAAATGTCGTTGTCTGTACTGAAGCTAGACCACAATGCACCATGATTTTGTGTTTCAAAAAATGTCTCTTATTGTGATGTCTGTAAAAGCGAAATTAGCGAACCTTACAACTGTTGCAAGTACAGAGCTGTGATCTCCATTTTTCTGTCCAGTATGATGCTGTGTTGTCTTGATTTTTATCTGTTGAGCTTTGAAGTTGGAGAAGTTTACATTGACAATTCGTTTCTCYGTCTTCTTCCTTTACAGTAYCGTTCTTTTGAAGTTGTTCTTTGCTGGTAACACTATCCTCGTTCTGTGTCAGTTTAGTTTCCTGTTAGCAATTTAAAATATAATTGCTGTGATTTGAGTACGTATGAAGAGTCATTGCTTTTGGCTGTGTATAACATGAAGAATTATTGCTTGCGAATAAAGAATTATTACTTTCGGCTGTGTACAATATACAGAATTATTGCTCTGGAATGAGTATAATATGAAGAGTTATGCAGCCAGATTTAAGCTGAGAATGACTTTTATTCATTTTTTTCTTTTCTCCTCTTTTCTTTTATTACTGGCCTCTAAAGGGAATGCGACTGGTAAAAGGGTGGTCCAGTAAGCACCAATCAGAACGGATCTTATGATAGGTTGAGTAAACAATAGGCAAACAATAGATAAGTCTTCCAACAATGAAACAAAACCTAACCTAACAACAGAGCTGCTGTACTTAAGCAGCAATCAAAAAAAGCAGGTTTCGATCGGTACTGTATTACTGAAACGGATGATTCATGAAATGTACAATTTGAAATTTAGGGGAACAGCCATACACTAGTCTGACTCACATCAACAACAAATGGAAGTTCAGTTGTAAAGGGTAGCACCTCGCATGGGACTTGTTCCCGTTCGTGCTCACCCTGTTGGGCTTATTATCTTTCTTCTTCTTCTTCTCCTTTATTTTTTATTTTTTTTATTTTTGTTGTTGTTGTTGTTGTTCCCGTTCGTGCTCACCCTGTTGGGCTTATTATCTTTCTTCTTCTTCTTCTCCTTTTTTTGTTGTTGTTGTTGTTTGTTGTTATTCAGATTTATTGTAAGATTTTGCCCAATAAAGCTATTTTAAACAAAATGCAAGCTAAAACTACACTGATTCATATCAGAGAAAACAAGTAGACACTCTGAGAGTCACTATTGCTGTACTGTACATAGAGAAACAAGTCTGGGAAGCAAACAYAGGTCTGTGGACCTCAAATCTCATTCACAACCAACAGTGACATTCACTCACCTCTTCACAACTGTTTTCAKATGTGTCTTTGGTCTCGTCACTAGAACAAGCTGTTGTTTCTGGTTTGACTTCTTCTTTTCCAACATCAACAATAACATCTTTTTCTGCTTTTGTAATAACTTGTTGTCTTTGACCTAAGCTGGATTGACTGCCTGCTGTAATTATAAATTGTAAATTAAGGTTGGGTACAACACTGGGATCGAGATCAACGATTTTTTAAACAATTCTATTAGGACATCAGGGATCAAATTTAAATGTACAGAGTTTTGGGATCGGAATCACGTTGTTAGCCTATTGATCCGGATCAACAGCAAAAAAAAAATATACCTCGTTACTAGCCTGGCATTTACCTGAAAATTGGAGGTATGCATGTAGGAAAGAGGAGCATTTTTTGGTGCACTCATCACAKATCATTTCTTGGTAGTTAGCAGGAGGTAGAGAGCCAAGGTGCTACAATAATCACACAGTGTAATAATAAGTTCCATTAGTTTTTTAGCAGTCGTGGAATAACAACAACTATAAAAAAATATTTAATAAATGTTTGGGATGCCTGTGGTACTTACTCTTGAGTGATACCAGTCCTCACAGATAATACACTGAATCATTTCATCCTCAATCTGAACAAACAAAARAAATAAAGAATGATAAACTGAATAGAACAAAATAACTGAACAATATTATAAACATAAAATACATATTCAAATACAAACAAAATCAAGTCAGAACAACGGAACATGCAGTAAAAAATCACTTAATATCATAAAGTCATTTTGCCATGATTCCTTGGCTGGATGAGAAGAGGCCTAAATGTTACAATATCATAGACAGAATACATAGGACAATAATGTATGTCTACTGAAACGTACAAATGCAACTTTCCCATTTACAAAGTTGCATTCCCAAGAAACTCCATTTCCATGCACAAACATTGCTGGAACATTGGCTGTGGGGGGTACGGTGGGAGTGTCAGGGGAGGATTAAAACAACCAATAAAGGATATGAGTGCAGTAATACTTGTTCTGTCCCATTCTATTTTGTCTTGGATTGTAGGTTCTAAGAGAGCTGTAGTATGAACATAGAAGAGCATATTACCTCATCGTCAGGATCTGGATATGGTTTATGGCATGTACAATACAACCCTCTAAAATTCTGGTTATACTTGTTATCACTGTTTACGKCATCTTTATCCTGACATTGATGGAWATAATAATCAGATAGTATAAATGATATGAATGACATAATGATTTGTTGATACTATGGCAATGCGGCGAGATGACCGGTAACTGTTATTATTGTTATATTGAGATGTATAGAATTTTAAAACACTTTATGAAATAATTCTAGAAATTTGAAAATGTCAAAAAGTTGGAAGGGATAACAGAAGAATTTGTACATTTTGAATGAAATATAAGAAAAAATGAAAAATAATGAAAATTATGGTTGGATAAATGGATGGATAAAAGGATTATACTTGTTTTGTCCAAAAAATACTCTATCAAAAAATTGTTCCATGGATATCAACAATTAGTTTCTTGAATTTTATCTCAAAATGATAATAAACTTACAGGGTATAGTTTACATCTTGTGTTGGTACCAAACTTAGAGTTTCCACAGTCGCATCTGAAGTTCCTTGGGGAGATCGAAASAGGTAATTACTACAGCATGTTCTTAAAAAATGTTTGGTTAAACTTTCTCATAATTCGTTGCAAGAATAAGTCATATTGATTTAGTCAATTAAAGAACTTTGTCCACTTTTCTTTTCTTTAACAAAGGATTTCTCATTAGCATAATCTTTTGTTCATTCCTCCAACATGGCCGCCAGTCTTTTATCTTTTGAAACTCATGGGAATGGTTGAAAATGATCAATAGCTATAAACTGTCTGTGTGTACCTCTTTGTGTACAGTTCATAGAGTTCATGTCCATCRTGACAAGTAAGGCAACATGCCAGACATAAACCAGCCATCTCTGTTGGTGTACATGTATTACAAGCATACAAAGCTTGTCTGTTCACATAACCCTGAAATAACAAGATCATACTTAGGACTTCTCTGATTTCATGTTTTACCTTGATCTTTGTTAGACTAGGAAAATGGGAAGTGTAGCCATGTCGAACAATAAAGTTGTGTGGGGATGCGAGGCCATACATACATGCCTATATGTAGTTTACACTTGTCTAGCAAATTTGTTAAGCAAGTATTGGTGGGTTGCATGTGACGTCATACTCAAGCAAAAAATATCGAAAATCCAAGATATTTTTTCTAAAGAGCCCTTCTTACAGTATATCTTAAATATACGATGAGTTATCATCCAAGATGGCGTCCCCATACATTTAACCAAATTTTTCAAATCTTTATTCGCTTATATCTTCATCGAAAAGTAAGCTACAGGACTAAAAGCTTGTATTCTAGATAATCTGAGTATGCTCTTTGTGACTTGCTACATGGATTTTGAAAATAACGAATAATGACGAATGTTAAATTTTCACTTCGGGGATTGCAACCCAAGAATATGCGACAATTTTAATGGCAATCCAAACCGCACATGTAAACAGCCTGAAAATTCATAGCACCAATTTCACAGCGACAGATTGCAGGATTACCACAGCAAATTTGAACATGTTTGAAATTTTAGTGCAACCTGGAAATCAACTTGGATTTACAGACTGTTTACGCATTCGATGAAGCTGCTGCAAAGATTTCAGTTCACATCACCCTACAAAATTTCTAGTAACTTATAATTTACATAAGTATCTCTAGGTTGAAAACTGATATTTGCATATTTTTAGATCAAAAATGCGACCACGTGGACACTCRAAGACAGAGGAAAAGCCTGGTATTTGCCAATTAGCGATGAACGTCCTTGTCAACATTAAGCCACCTTGCAAAGTTTTGGCTCAGCATTCCAAAAAAAACCATAATGTTTTACCATACTTGTGTAAATTCCCCGAGTGCTGATTGGCTGATTAGAGTGTGTAAATAAGAGCAGGACATGCACACTGTGCTGACACCATCACAGGCTAGTAACAAGGTCTTGGGATCAGGGATCAGCGTCAATTTTGGGGCTATTTTGGGATCAGGGATCATGATTTAGGCTTAGGATCCGGATCAAATGGATTTAACCTGGGATCAAAGGTTTTTGAACTGGGATCGGGATCTATGATTTTTTTCAACGATTCTGTAAGGGGATCAGGGATCAAAATGTACGGAGTTTTGGGATCGGGATCACGTTTTTAGCCTTTTGATTCGGATCAACAGCAAAAAAAATATACCTCGTTACTAGCCTGCCATCAAGTCTCTCGCACGCTCAATTGAAAGAAAAGAATGATTTTCGCTAATATTTAGACTAAAAATGTGGTAAAAAAAAAGAAAAGGCAATACTATACTTAGATGAAGAATGGATGTTCTGACAAAAAGACTTAATTCTCTTGTATGTATTTCAATGACACGTATTATTATTAGGCACAACGTCAAAGTACGTGCCATTTGATTTGACAGCTCACCTTGCTGTACGTACAGCACTGATCGTCGCTGTCTCCTAAAACAGCATTCGCTTCCTCTTCAAGTTCGTTGTCTTCTTGAAGCACATCTACCATAGACACAACCTCGTCTACAACCTCKCCATCCATTTCCAGCAACGACGATCAAGAAACTTTCAAAATGTAAGAAAAAACTACAAGACAAAATTCTCAAAAATATGGCGCGCGCTGCAAATTAGTAACCAACCCCCTTCGGTTATATACAGAAACGGGGAATTGGAAACGAAAATGAAGAAAAACTGGAAGTAATATAATGTACTAAAACTGTAAAAAGAAGAGTTAGGCTTAATTTGAAATATCAGGAGTAATTCCTCCTTTTTGTATATCAATATTTTGCATTTGATAGAAATATTAGGGGCTCCTGTGTAAGAGAGAGTGACGCCTGACAGTTTTCTACCTCTTCTTCCTTCTCGTGACAGCGGTATGAGCGAAGAAGTGGAACCTCCTCCGAAACGGTCTCGAAATGCTAATTCTGAGCTTGAAAAGGTAAAATTTCGTTTAATTATGCATATATATGTTGATTTTTGCTGTCATATTTCCACTGTARCATGCAAAAACATTTCGTCAATGATCAAAACGAAAAAAAAGCAAAAAGTACTTCTATTTTAAACCAGATTACAAAACAAAACATCTAAGTGTTGACAAAAAAAACAAGAACTCTAAAATACTTGAAAAATAGAAGCCAATAGATTTTGCATTTCCTGCTAATTTTGAAGTATTTAGTTTGAGACTTGATATATTAAATTTAGACCTAAATATATGCCATATTAGCTGATCATACATCAGCCTACTCTTTGCATTTCTTGTAAGTTAAATAAGTTATGATAATTTCGATGGTATTTCATTTTTTCTTGAAATGCAACTTCTCGATAATGTTGAAGCTGTTTGGACGTATTTATGATCACTTAATTAATATTTTAATMATTATCATACTATCATGATCAATCATCACTGAATGTAATTATTAATGTTGTATTTTCAGATAAAAAGACCTGACAAAGAAACCTTTTTAAGAGAATTGAACAATATCAATAAAGAAATATCATCACTTTTGTCAGATGCAAACAATGATTTCCTAAAATGTCCTGAAAAATTTCTTAGTGACACTGTAAGAAATCTTGGCAAACTTATTGGTTTTTACCGCAATTTGTTTTGTAAGACTGAAGTGGAAACTAGAAAGGAACTTGATGGAAAGATTGGGCAACTTTGTGGTGACAAAGAAGTTCAAGAATCTGCAGAACTSCTCATGGAAAAAGAAGTAGAATGGGATGGGTTTTTAGAAGATGTTGATAAAAAGCTTAATTATGGAGAAGGATTTGAAGAGGAGTTGACAGCTGGTGATGCTGCTCCTTGTGATTTAATGCTGACTGATGTGAGAAATGAAAGGTTTGTTCACTTCAGATGTCTTAGTTGTTTTTTGACACTAATTTGATAATGACTTCTAAATCAACATCTTTAGGGGTGGTGAATGATCTTTCAAAAAATCCAGGTCTCGCATTGAAAATTTTAGTCAAATTACAAGGGTCTTCCAGTCTCATTTTTTGTTTTCACGAAGCTGTCTCAAAATCTTGTTTTTTTACTATGACTGAAAACTAACCCAATTATGAACAGCTGCCATKGGCACCAAACTAAAATTGCAGATTTCCAGAGCAGTTGCAAGTGACAGCATATCAATCAAAAATATCAAAGGAAAGTCCATGCATAAGACCGGAAATTAGGTCACAGCAGGAAATAATGCTGTTTATAATRTTATAAATGGCTCATATGACTCGGTCTCGCAACAGGTTTCGCAAATTTAAACTCTTTAAAAAGTCTCGGTCTCGCATTTCAGACAACTCAAAAGTCTGGGTCTCGCAATTTAAAAAGCCAAAAAGTCTTGGTCTTGCAAGGTAAAAYGCTAGTCTCGCCGTTTCGCAAAGTCTCAATTTTACCATTTGCCACCCCTATCTTTGAGGCTCAGTTTCTGGATTCTGTACTGACCTTACTCCTTATGCAAAGAAAAGAAAGTGGGCTGAGATTTATAAGGCTGAATTTGAGTCTATTGCTCTTTTGACTGAATTAGACATGTCTTTGAAATGAGGTTGTCATGTAAACCAGTGAGCAGTGATATTTAGTTATCTAGGGGAAGAAAGCAACCTCTTTTAAAAAGTGAATTATTATGATGAAAATTGCCAAATTGAGCAAACCTGTTTATGTGGCTTTTTTAATAATCAATTCACAACAGGTTTTTAAATATTTTTCTTAAATTTTGATAAATATTCTTCAATATTTTGGCATAAATTTTTACAGTCGATGACATCATAGACTTGGACCTATTGTATCCTTTTGAACCAAAATTTCTAGACTTATGTTTGAATTACTAGAAGTTTCATTTTTGTCACATTTTTGTCACAGTACCCCTTTAACACAGTACAAATAAGTTACATTTAAACATAGAATTAATTATAATTATTATTAATTTTTTTTTCGATGTTGTTCCTCAGCAAATATTCATTGGGAGAATTACTAGAGAAAGCTGCAACATCGAATATTGTCCTCATCTTATTACGGCACTTTGCCTGACTACCATGACGTGATCATGTTGCCATGGTTGCTTCACATCAAGAAGAATTCAAGGCAGCAAATGGTCACATTGTAATTGTCAGCTTTGGAAATCTGGTCAGTATATTTTGTCTTTACAGACCTTATTCCTCCAATTTTGAATCCAAWGCAAATAACTTATGCAAAGACCTTTAGTTATCAAAYRCAAAAGAAAGCATGAGAAAATGTTGTAGTACAATAGCTCTGTAATAATTATTGACATTTTCMCCAMGTTTAGGCTAACCCTGTATTCCCAGAAGGCTTAAGCCTTAGGTCTCATGGGAATACAGGGTTAGTCTCAACTAGGAGAAAATGCAAATTTTCAAGGCTATTGTAAAAACATRTTCTCTTGCTCTCTTTACTTTACTGTAAGGTCTTTGCGTAAGAGAATCTGTGGTCAAATAAAGCAGCGGTTCTTCGCTTTGAATAGACTTTTTGTAGTTGTGCAMTGGCTAGAAAGAGGTTTTGATCCAACATTCCTATACACAACAATCCCACGTAAAGTCTGTGGGAAGGATAGCAAACCGTAATGCATACTATATTATAAGATCACTAAGTAAATGTCTTTAAAGGCTGATTTACACGGTACGATTTGTCATGCGCGACTTGTAGTATACGACTTGAATCGCGCAGTGTAAATGCCCCTACGACTTGTCTACAACAGTCGTACGCAACCTACGACTTGTAGTAGGGTTTTGAACCACTGCTTAAATCCTACGACTTGTAGTAGGAAAATCGTATACTACAAGTCGCGCGCGACAAATCGTACCGTGTAAATCAGCCTTAAAGAAACAACTAAATGATAAGTGCATTGGTTCTTGAGTCAGGTTATAGGAAATGTGGAATAGTAGTAGAATATATTATTGGAAATATACTTATGTAAATTCAGTCTTTTGAGGCAAAATTCCGCCTCTGTGTGAGTTGCCWTTCAARCATAACTTTTTCCTGACAAGTTTTTGATTGGCATTATGCGCTTGTCAAAATTTGCATTGCACATGCAAGTTTCCGAAATGGCACCGTTTCTATCCAAATTGCACTCTATGAATGYCATCAATATAAGGAGAAAGAAGATAAAAAAGGGAAATGCTGATTTGTAAGAATATTGTTGAAAATTTTTCCTTTCATATTCTGTTTCTTTAATTTACTCTTTAGTCAGGAGCAAAGAAATGGCTTGAGCAAACACAATGTCCTTTTCCCATGTTCATTGATAACAATCGYCAACTCTACAAATCCCTTGGTCTTAAGCGGTCTGTATCCAAAGTCTGGAACACTTCTACATTGATTTATTACGCAGAAGAAAAGAAAAAAGGAAGGCCTCTCATCGGTATTTTTGAAGAAGATGATCCGACTCAAATGGGRGGTGACTTTATAGTTGATAGTCAAGGAAACATGAAGTTAGTTTATCGGAGTAAAGTTGCGAACGACAGACCAACGGTAAAGGAATTGTTGCAAGCTTTAGAATCTTAATTWAGGAAACGTGTTGAATAAGCGAGATTTGAAGCGACGCCATTTTGTACATGAAAGCATRATGGGAGTTGCAGTGCTCGAACTTTTTATAGAACATAAAAGAAAATCTTCTTAAAATCCGTTTCCATGTTTTCTTTGTAGAAATGGCAAAACTACCTATATTTCATCAAAAAACGGCTTTAATAGGAGGACATTTTATCGGTCCTAAGAAGTGCAAGACCAACAACAACTTCTATCATAATTTGTTGCACAAAATGGCGTCACTACCGGCAAATTGTCTATTGATTTATTAACGAGTCGGGTTTTTCTTCTGCAAAAGTGGGTTCGATTATCAGACTATGATGGGACACGTTTTGTCCTAAAGTCACACAATTTTCACCGCGACCAGAGGATTACTAGAGAATATCACCGTATAACCCTTGTTCTATCTTCTGTTGTCTTTTATGCACTAGTCAATTGAAACCCCCGCCCCCCGACCCMCGGGGCTAGCGGGGCACTGACACTAGCGGGGACGTGACGCGTTTTTAACGTACTTTTAAAAGCAAGATTGCCCCGGGGTCGGGATTTTGATTAATTGTTTTCGATTTTAGCGCGTGTTTSAACATGTATGAGGGTTGAAACTAGAGGTCGACCATCTTGAGAAATACCCTGAAAGCATTGGTATTCAACCCTGTTTTTTATTTGTTTATTTTTCCTTGCATGAAAAAGTTTTAAAACTAATTTATTATATACACATGTTTTTCTCCGTCCAGTTAGCCTCGTAGTACACAAATGAGTACACAGGATTGTACAAAAAGTAACCCTTTGTATCACAGAAAATTTGATTGCAAGGTGTTTGTTTTGTTATTTACTACTAGACCAAAATAGCGGGGCAAGAGTAGCGGGGATTTTAACAATGAATGTGTCCCCGACTACCGGGAGGAAATGTTTTATTTTAAGACCACTCAAATGTTTAATTCCCCGGTATTCCCCGGGGGGCGGGGGTTTCAAATGCCTAGTGCATTATGCCTTCTGCATTGCACGAAGTTTCAATCTCGCAAGTTTGTATTACTGGTGCAACGACATTTTACAATTTTCTACCCCAGCAACATCTTTCTTGGCTTTTTTTCAGGCACGGAAAGTGTTCTAAGTGCAGTGCTGAGAAAATTTCACAGTATTACAGGTTATCTCTAAGATCTTCGTTTTTCATGCAGGGACGCAATAGAGCCTGCTATCCTTTTGTCGGACCTCCTCGTGAGSCGGGACAGGAAGCCCGACAAAAGGGTAGGCTGCGAAGGAGACTGGTAATCAAACCCAAGACTGCAGACTCGAATCATCACAGTTGACCTAGGCTCAATAACTAAGTATAAAATATATCGTTCGCACAATATTTTTTTTTCTTAAACAATATTTTTCTAATATAAATAAAACGTATACCTTCCTGTTTGAAAATATTGGATATGCCATTGTTTAACCTACTTATATTAATACAAAACCTACTTATATTATATATATTGTGCAAACAACATATTCTATACTTACTTATTTAGGCTGGGTTACCTGTGGAATCATCACGCCGTTCTCGCAAATGATAAGGACAACTTTTTCAGAGTCCAAGTTTCTGCTAAAACCATTCACAACTACAGACAATTTCCTCTAGTACTAAATACCATWTTTCTAAGCCAACAGCTAGCAGTTGATGACRGCATTGTCAGAAACAAATATTTTTTTTTTTGTAGATTATGCTTGATGGTTACACTGGCAAGCTAGGGCTTAGATATAATTTAATATTAATTTGATAATAAAATGGCAGATAGAATTCATTTGATTTCAGGTATGAAAAGCCCATGCGCTTAAGCTTGTGCTTGCGCGGCAATGGGAATGTTTAGTTCGCCGCATATCATGCATGCGATCGTGCAATCGACGCTTGATAATTCCCATTCTCCATTTTATTCGACAACCTTTTTTGCTATGTGTATATACGCAATGCAGGGAAAGCCATTAACAAATTTGCTGCAATTTTCCTGATATATATCTCAAGTTTTTTTGAAACAGAAGAGAGTGGCTTCCAGTGGCTGTACTGGATTCAGTTTTGAGAGTTTTGCTGCTAGTTCTCTCAAGGCTGACGATCATGTTGAAAAGCATTGACAAAAAATGGACTATCAAGTGCCAACACAATTTTCACATTAATTATCACTTAACATTGGATTGCAGGAGGAGCAAGAAAACAATGGRCTAACTGCGGTCTCTTCAACGCTCTGATGCTCTTTTTTGTTGACGGCTTTTTGTAATGTAATACAGTGACTAACAAGACAAAACCGAGACAAAGGGAAAATAAAGCTTTCAACTTGACGAAAAATGTCAACGACTGAACTTTATTTGAGAATGTACTTATAAATTCACTCTCGATTTTGAATGGGTTTAAAATAATGACATGCCCACACGAAGACGATTTTCAAGTGATTACTCTGGCACGACTTTACAGCATTTTGCACTAAAAATGCGTTTAAAAATAGACATTTAGAGAGAGCTTTCGTGTAGATTGTCAAGTAATTAGCGATTTACAGTCTGTTCGTTGATATAGCGCCCCTTAGACAAGGCTGTCAGGAATACTRAAGCAGAGGGGGCTAGACAAATATCTTCAACTCTTTTGACCTTTCACAAATGCCACTTTCAGTCAAAAACTAAAAGTATCTCTGTTTTGAAAGCAGCTTAAAATACATGCAAATTCAAGCAGAAAAACATGCAAACATCGAGTGGCTTAGTATACTTGGAAAATTTGGGATATTTTCAGAATTTTCAAACATTTTCTTTCTTTGAAAACATGAACAGCCGAAMCGTCCCAAAAGCATTCGAAATTTTGTCCTGTGATAAAATTGAAAGGCGTTAACTGATGACATCACAAGATCATTGGCCAATCAGAGAGGAATATCCAAATGCCGCAACACTCTGTGTTCGTATTGTTATTGTGGGGTTGGCGTGTATGAGTGTTCGARTTACTCTGTAATATCTGGTGGCGTTCTTAACATCTATCTTTCAAAATGGTGAGTTTATTCAATACMAGTTGATWTCTTGGTTACTWTTCCAACCTTTTACCCAAGGAGCTTTCTGTTTGTCCAATAGTTAACTGTCTTTATTAAGGACAGAAATTTCAGGATGCCGGAATGCGATTTGTTAATCATACAATCCTTGGTTTTTGCACGAGAATTCACAGACCATGGTATTGCATTATTTTAGCTTTTGAGCAAATTCGAGGGCAGTATATCATAATATATTCTAACGGAGCTAGAACACTAAAAAACTCATAAAGTATGCAGTTTCATATTATTGAGAATGCAAATTAATAAGTCTATGCAAACAAAAGAGTACTAAAATACATAGCTGCATATATTTACAGTAGATTTTCACTCTTTAATCTCAAAAATTCGTCAATTTTGAGCCGTTAGTTGGCGACATTAAACATCGTTTAACCCTGACCAGTGATTATGTTTCCTAAGCTGTCTTCATCTGCTCGCGATATAAAGCGATATCCTAAACAAGCAAACATGGACGCTTTCTGACATGAAGAAATTCACTCGACCGAGACAACTTTTTATGTGCAATATTTTACACTTAGAAATCATGTTCAATATCATGTTATGCCTTTCAATCGTAAATTGATTGGTCTCGAATAATTCAACGATGCGAAGTCATCTCATAATTATCTTGTTTTGTGTTGTGTAATTATTCAATGTTGCCACCTCATTGACCTTTGCTTTTGCTTCAAGCGATTTTGTTGGAATTTTTGGAATTGTAAAAATGGAGTCGGGACTATGGAATGATAGCTAAATTTGAGTGACGCATGCTCTGTATAGTCTGGGGAAATCTTAAGAATTTAAGGTGAATCCCAGCGATATTTTGACAATACTTGAGATTTAATTTTATTTAGCAAAGTGATCAACTCAGTTTTCCTTTTCTGAGATATCTTTTGGTGTAGACCTTTTAAACTTTTTTTTAAATTTTTTTAAATTTTTTAAATTTTTTTTTAAAGCATTAATGGAAATCTTGATTTAATTACTCAGTTAATCGCGAAAGAATCTATGCGATTCATATTCAAGATCGCACGTATCTAAACTAGTTGTGTAAAAATATAAATTTAACACCGTAAAAAAATAACTAACTGAAATGGCGTGAATTAACTAACTGACGTTTCGGACGTTTATAGTACATTCAACAAAATAATACATTCTGATTGGTCGAGAGGAGTACAATTACAGCGTTAATTGTACTCCTTAATTAAGTTGGATGTACTATAAACAAAAAATCGCACAACCTCTCGTACAATTTGGAATTAATAGTCACTCGTAATGTTTTGAAAGTTCTCAAATTGCAGGCGCGTGCAATTACGAGAACTTTCAAAACATTACTCGTGACTATTAATTCCAAATTGTACTCAAGGTCGTGCGATTTCCTATACTAATCCTTCGTCGGAGTAAATGGACAAAAGTTGTTACTAATAAATTGTACTAAAGAACACCTATATAGATTCATAGTTGGTAGAGGGGAATTTCCCCTCTACTAACTATGATAGATTGCCGTATTCTTTTGAAGCTAATCAATAAACGGGAGCCATTTTTTGCAGACATCGACATTATTGTTTTTCGTTTCCATAGTAACCTTCAATGAAATTATATTGATTCATATAACAACTTTTAAAATTCACCCATACTGCCTTTCGGTCTTGTTGYGTAATCGTTACAACAAGCAGCGATAAGGCTTTGTTTACACTTGTGATTTTTGCAGCGCGATAATCGCCACTTTCCTATCGTGCAACTAAAMTGTACGTTTAAACAGCCCTGCGGTTGTTGCGGCGATGGAAAATCGCCGCGGAGTTGCAGTCAATTTTCAAGCATGTTCGGAACTCGGGCGATGGCCGCGCGACGATCGCCTCGAGAATCGCGCTGCAAAAATCGCAAGTGCAAACGAGCCTATAGAGTCGGTATGTTCAGAATGGACGCATCAGTGTTTGACCATATTTGGTTACCCAAAGATCGATTCAAAKTGACCACTGATRCTACAAACCAACTTGTTTGATAAAAATRGTCATTTCCGTGTCCTTCGTTCWAAACCACTTTCTTTTTTGTTGTAGGTTGCACCGATGGTTTTAACAGATGCTCAAAAAGCAGGTAAGGCGCTTGAAGAGCTTTTTAATCCTATAAATTGATATTTCAATCCCTTWGTMCTTTGCTTCTTTACGCTCAAAGATAAACGATGTTTTTCATGACAAATGTAGCTTTTATAGTGCGTATTTAATTCACCATTTGCGGAAGTGGCTTCGTCTTTGGCTCCAGACTAATGGCTTCMGTTTTTGAAGCATTTCCGTTGCTTAAACCGACTGCAAACGCTTTCAACATTTGCTTCAACATTTGTGCAATTTTGTTGAAAGACGCATTGACCGCGTATTGCGCGGGGCTTTCAACGTGTTTGAATTGGAGCGAATGCTGCTCAGCCGCTTGCACTGCATTGTTACAATAACCTCGCAAACTGCTTCAACATCATTCAACATTTTCGAGAACATTTTCGAGAAAAAAACGTTTGAATGCTTTTAACTCAATTCAATATTGATTCAACACTTTTGCCACTCCGCGCAAACACGTTCAACACTGGCATTTATCAAAGAGGAGCGAATTTGAAATCTCTTGCGCCGGCCTATAGTTGRGACATGTAACTCAAAGTAGATCTTGTTAACATGTGGATTTTCAATATATTTTTGTTGATTTGATTCATTCTTCTTAGAATTCAAGGAAGCCTTCTGCATCTTTGATGTGGATGGCAGTGGTACCATCACAGTCGATGAGTTGGAAATGGTCATGAGAAACCTTGGTGAGAAAATCGACAGAAAAGAACTCGAACAGATGGTCAGCGAAGTCGACGAAGATGGTACGAATAGATATTGATTGATTGTTATCAGTTCAACAGACCAAGCAATTGTCACAAACTGAACCCCTTTTTGATATTGCTTTGTTAATCKACATGCCTTGAGAGCGCCTGTTTAGGTTTGAAAATGAAAATACATCGGAATATAAGCAAAAGCTTTCTCTTTATTAACCCTTTGTGCTATAYCAATTGAGATACTGTAAGATTCGACCTTCCAATCAATGGATGGAAACGGATTAAGAACGGAGTTGAAATCAGCTCATTAATTTTTTATACATGAAAAATGCCTAATACTCTACCCCACTGAATGCTGGTCAATCACAATCACCCTACTTGTGATTTAAACACCAACAAAAGTGCGAGCAGCCCAACAGTATTTGCAAATTTATCACAGAAAACATTAACATTTAAGAAATTATCAAGAATTTATATTCGCTTACTTGTCAATAGGAAGCGGTGAGATTGAATTCGAAGAGTTCTGCGAGATGATGGTTAAGAAGATGCAACAAGAGGCAGAAGAAGGCAGCGTCCTCGACGCCTTCAACGACTGGGACACGAGCGGCAAAGGAATGATGAAAGTCGACGAATTCAAATCAATGCTTAAGAAGCTCCGTGAAGTACGACTTACCAATAACGATATCGAACAAATGATTAGTGTTCTAGACCCTGCCAAGAAAGGAGAGTTTAAGTTTGAAGGTAAGTTAGTATATKAKTAAGGGATCATACAGCCTCTGCCCAGGTCCTTTCTCCATATCAACGATGGATCAACGATGCTGTTCAACGGTAGCGCAAGCGTAAGGCAAACATAAGCATACTTTAACACGCAAGCATAAGGCATCGACATAAGCATAATTCCACACGCAAGCGTAATGCATTGACATGAGTATAAGTTAATACGTAAGCGTAGGGCTTAGCTTAATTTAACACGCAAACATAAGGCATTGCATAAGAGAAATTCAAGACCAGGCGTACGGCATTGACATACAAAATTCAACGTGCAAGCGTAATCCATCGACATAAGCATAATTCCACACGCAAGCGTAATGCATTGACTTGATCATAATTTAATACGTAAGTTCAAGTCTTTGACATAAGCGTGATTCAACACGTTAGCGTAAGGCATCGACATAAATTAAGGTCATTACGCATGCGCTTGCGCAGTAGTGAAAACCAAACTTAAACTCAAGCTGCGTTTTCCTTGCAGACTTCGTGAACAGAATGGAAAAGAATTAAGTTCGTCCAGCACATTTAGAGATACACAAATCTGCCAGCCAGGCAGGGTAAATTGGACTCACATAATATACCTCGCTAACCTCGTCATATATGTCATTGAAATTTTATTTTATATGTTACTTTAGACCGGTCTACTGTTTTTATACCACATTTTTGGCATCATTGAACAATTGTAAAGACAACTGCAGTTCAGAATGATATTCAATATATTGAATGCACCACAGGATTTGTTTAGTCTGATGGCACTTGGTCTATAAATTATTTGTTAAATAAACTACAAGGTGCTACTGCCGTCAATACGAGAACTCTTCTTCCTTCAATCCCGAGGGATTGTCTGATAGAAATTGTCAATTGGAGATTGCATGAGTAAAAGGAGCTATACTGTTCAACTATTTCAGAGCAACCTCGTCCTCCCTTTGTTGGGGTCAGGCGGGATGAAAAGGTCAGTACGAATATAGAAGGGCCTCGGAACGAGGTTGATAATCTCTGCCAATGCAGCCATTGCTATTTATATATAGCAGTGCTTGTCTATTGGTTGTCAAAGTCTTTGATAGTCAATACCAAGAGTTCCTTGCAATCTTCAATAGAAACTTTCAATCGGCATTTCCTCAAACAACGTTTTTGAAACTAACTTCTACTAGTTTCCTATTATTTGCGCTAAATTTAWTTCATGTTGTCAGAAAGTGAGTATTTGTCATTGAAGGAACGTTGTTACTTTCAAAGCGTATAGATGGTGCATTAAGGCCGAATTAGACGGCACAACATTTGCCTGATATCATCGCATGCAACCTGCGTAAGTCATCCATATACATGCCTACAACTTTCTTGGGGATTTAAAACAATTGACTAATAGCCCTATAACAGTTGTAGCCATGTTGTACGGATGACTTACGCAGGTTGCAGTCTTAGTCGGTTAGACCGAAGTTCCATCCCATGAAGCACCTCGGTCTCAATKTCTATCCATACTCACTTTTTCCTGACAACATGGCTTCAATTTGTAATACTAAACATAATAAGAAACTCTGAACGACTTTATTGAGCCTTCGTACAATAGCAATAATTCATTTTGTACGACTCTCAGAATCTGGCCGTGACATGACCAGTATCCATCCGTACTTGCGTGACGTGACGATCCTCTGTCCGTACATGCGTGACGTTTCTTGTTGCATTCTACCGAAATCGCGACAAGTGATTGCCGATTGCCTTSAAGTTGTAAAAATTCATATCTAGCGTGGTCTACAATACTTTTTTATGCGAATTTTAGTTGTAAATGGGTTTAAATTAAATTTACTCTCCGAGTTAGTAGAATACCTACCAAAACAACTGCAAATGAACAASTCAACAATTCATTTATCTTACTTAATTTGAGTCGAAACTTGAGTACTTTCATTGAAACATTCTGTGGATACATGYTGAGAACGATTGCAACGAACAGATTTGTGTTTGAGGGGCAATGTTTGTGTATGGCGTGACGTCTAGTTACACGTATCAAATATAAATGTACTTCCAWTTTGTTGCTGTCGGAGGAGAGAGTAGGTCAAACTTTTAAAATACTTGATTTAAACTTGTTAAAGCACCAATAACAARCTAGTACATCTTCAAAGCTAAACATTCTTAGAACCTTTTTGCAAAACACTTTCTAAAGTATGGTAATGTCCGAAGAATTCAAAGTTCTATGCTTATTGCTTATCCCCTACGAACGTCACCCCCACTAGAGCGTTTTATAAGCGCAAGGATTCGCCCTGAACAAAAATTTAAAGAATCACGTTCGGGTGCTCACAGTGTCGCATGCCGTAGCCAAGTCGGTGATTGTAAGCCCATTCATATTACTCTCTGTTCTGTAGAGGTATTTCAAGACTATCTTCAAAATGGGTTGGGTAAGTGCTTGTCAAATGCAATCTCCACTGCAGGACCACAATCAATCGTGAGTTGAAGATGTGTCAGACTCGTAGCGTCAACCATCTGGAGATGACTCCAAGCTCAGCTCTGAAACAGCCCAAGAAAAGGCTGCCATTGTGTTTGATTGCGGCCAATGTGGAGAATTGTATTCGTGTGAATGTTGTAACAGTGTTTCTCTAATTATTTCCCCTGATRTTTCGTGTTAGAAGTTTTCTTTGGCTTTACTATTTAGCTGTTTGTAAGTCATTTGCAATGTTTACGTTCCTTTGAGTGATATTTGCAAACTTCTACAGACCTCTGACAATATAGTCACGGAAAAATGACCAGAATTATAGAGTTCTTAAAAAATATTTTCAGCTTTTTATTACATTTGATTTAAAGTAATGATTATAAATTAACTATTTAATTAATAGAAATGCTTTTGTGTAGCTTTAATATGTTTGTGTTTGATTGCTTAAGCYGCTTCCTAATAAGGTCATGCTCACCTAATGACCTGCGTTACAAACGTTGTCTACATAATTGTGCATCTTCAAAACCATGCACCTCAGGCCATTAAAKATAATACTGATTTTAACAATCTGCCAGAYTAATACACCAGTTAAAAAACAAAGAAACACTTCTGACTATTCATGTAAACTAGTGTAATCATTTAATTGATTATAATATAATTATGCTAATTTATGTTTATTATAATGATAATTATGTTCAAAATATCATCAAAAGTGGATATAATCTACAATGTCCCCTGAAGAACATATCGCCTTAAAAATAGGGACTAATTCAACTGGCTTGTTTACTTAATAACACTAATTAATAGTAGTAATTAGTAATATTCGTTTCATGGAATAAGAGCGTATTTTCTGTATATATATTTAAATTGATTATTAATTAATCAAAATTTTATATTAATTATTACTAATTCATTCATTATGTCAGAATGCAGTAAAACGCTGTCAAAGCAAATAAACAACACAAAACACATGTAACTGAACAACACAACACATGCAAAACAACACAAAAAACAACAACACAACAAATGGAAAACAACACAAAACATGCAAAACAACACAAAACGCATGCAAAACAACACAACAAATGCAAAACAACACAACACATGAAAAACAACATAACACACATGCAAAACAACCGAAACGCATGCAACACAACACAACAAATGCAACACAACACAACTCATGCAAAACAACAACACACATGCAAAACAACACAAAACGCATGCAAAACAAAACATTCAAAACAACACAACACGACAAATGCAAAACAACACAAAAACGCATGCAACACAACACAACAAATGCAAAACAACTCAACACACATGCAAATCAACACAAAAACAAGGTTCCTAGAACAATTAACAAAACAAGACCAACTTCCAATAAGTTGAGCACATCTGGCACACAAACTAGGCCCTGTTGATCAGATTGCGGTTTCTTGTGCAGCCAACTTGTCAATCGTATTCCTGTCAACTATTGCACGCTTCTCGGCGATTTTTATGCGAAAACAGTTTTTTAATCGTTCTTATGAATTAATTTGATTTGAATATTTGTAGAAAAATGAAATGTCAAAGGAACAAATCAAAGGTATGCATTATGAATCATTGGTAATATTGATTGGTTCATACGCGCGCTCGTCCTTGRAAAAGGACGGAATGCCAGATCCGAGGTCCCGATCCCTGGTTCTCGAGTAGTGTTATACCGACCAGGGATCTCTTAACCAGCATTGAGGTCGGCCTTAATGGCTTGATGTCTTGATAATGTAGGTAGTCAAAGACACCTCATAGTAGCCATAATAACGAAGGCGCTGGTGCATGATAAACCTATCAGGAGCCCATGACTCTGAGCGTCCATGTCCKTAAATACAGGAGTGTCACGGCGTTTTCTCAGATGTGTATTTTTTAGATTTTCTTCGGTCGTCTCTTCAATAGTAGCCTCTTTTTTGTGACTTATTTCAGAAAATCTAGAGAAAAAAAACATTCGCTTTTACTATCAGTTTTACTATGTTTCTCCCCCCCATTTCCGCGCGTGCGTAACACCTGTAGTGACTGATCATTGGCGGGAAAAAATCTAAAAATAGGCACTGACGTCTATGAAAATGCTGCGACCAAACCCAAAACACAACATGTTTGACCTATCCAGCCGATATAAGTTTTATCAAAATATGTGAAGTGGAAATTATATATACACTCTTTGTATAATACAATCGGGACCTAGTGGACTTGAAATGACCAAGGTGTGTGCCACTCCATCACATTATGCATGGACTGTTCATTATAACCATACATTGTTTCATTTGCACTGAATACTGAAGTACTTGACTATATTGTTGTAGAGATGAACCAAGTGTTCAAGATGTTTGACAAGGATGGTGACGGTACCATCGATACTGACGAGCTGGAAGAAGTCATGAAATCTATCGGCGAGAAGCCATCGCGAAAAGAACTCGAAGACATGATTAATGACGTCGATAAAGATGGTAAGAAATGTGACGATGATTATTTGCATAAGCCATCCCCTTTATTTTGTGAAGTGCTTGAAGGAATATAAAAGCAAAGATACTAATGAGTCTAATAAAAAGGTGTTTCACTGCGCGTGTACTCAAGATTAAGTTTTCTCACTGAGTGAGACGTACTATGTAAATGTTACTGCTCCAGTAACTATTATAACTTTTTTTTATAATTATCTCCCTTCCCTACAACGCCCCATTTTCACGGCAGGGACGCGCGCATGGGTCCACGGAGTTCTAGCTTTGTTTTGCGGAGTAAAGACTTTMAAGAAGACGATCAAGCAAAACTAATTAAAACTTTTTGACTTTCCTAAAATGTTACTCGATCTGGCAACCCTGGAAGTACCCACTCCGCATGCCAATGCAGGAAAAGAATTGACATATAATAAAAAGGAAACAAAGCCAACGCAGAGTTTTGCGGTACAAAATTTCCAACTATATATTACTGAAAAAAACATTAGAATTTCCATATAAGGATATATTCCTATGAACAGTGATATTGTCAACTGTGGAACTCTCTTTTGGTCTGGTCAGTCAGGTGTGGCTAATGGAAAGCTTTATTGCCCTACTTAAATTTCAGTTWAGTYGTTTTAMTCTTACACYWRTACATAATCTGTAGGACTYGGGTACATCAAATTTGAAAACTTCATGGACTTGATGAATCGTCAACTGAAAGCCGGCAGCGAAAGTGAAATAATGGACGCCTTCAGCCATTGGGATACGAAAGGTCGTGGAGAGATCGAAACAAAAGAATTACGATCGATGCTCATGAGACTTCCCGAGAAACTCAAACGACAAGACGTCGACGAGATGATAAACGCAGCCGACCCTAGAAATAGRGGCACTATCAAGTTTAACGGTGAGATGTTGTACCTATTTTCCCGCAAGGGTRGATCCAGATGAGTGATTAGGGTGCCCAGCCAACCCCCATCGCCATTCCCCTCTTTCTAGATCCAAAAAYAGACTCTAGAAATCGAGGCACTATCAAGTTTAACGGTAATATGTTTTTACCTATGTTAGCGCAGGGGCGGATCCAGAGGGGTGATTAGGGAGGCTAGCCATCCCCCCTTTCTTTAGGGTCTAAAAACATTGAAATACTAGAAATCATGAATAAATATAAGGAAAAATAAATCTGAATGGGACTCAGCGTTCATCTATAACTGAAGGAATATCCGYATACAAAAAAATCTCCGTCCACACTTAATACGAATAGCATGCATCTGTACAGTCGTCCGCTTGTATTCGCTACGAACCGGATATCTCAAAGCATAAGTGAACAGAGCATGCGTATTGTATTAATGCTGTGATGTCATCTTGTACAAGAATATCGTGACTAGATAGATAGAGAGATAGATAGATAGATATGTGTAGCCGGCTTTCCAGATTTCGCAGACCAATGATYTGAATTACATCTGGATTACATTGTGAGGGACTTGGTCAGACTGCTATTGAAGGCGCTTTAAGCAGCCGTGCAGTTTACAAACATGAGTACGTTAGATTTGTTAGTGCGTTAGTGTGTTAGTGCCCTCAAGATTATGCGACCGGAGTACAGACACTGAGGATGGTCGTACCTGCGTCCTCAGTGGTTCTTTAACGTCCACTACAGGGTTAGAGTAGAGTAGACGGGACCTCCGTCGTTATCCGAGAGGACGCGAAGATCTTACCATTTGCAGATGGAGAAACAAATGCAGCAACTTCTACTCAATTATTTTAAGACCCTGAGTATTGGTCCGGCCAGGGTTCGAACCCACGACCTCCCGCATTGTAGTCCGATGCTCAACCAACTTAGCCAATCGGTGCGGTCCACATATATTCAACAAATGTCCGCGTTAACCCATCATAAACAKAAATTCCCACCCTTGAGAGCGTGTACTGACATCTCCAGAGAAAGTGTGAAGACACTAAGCTAGCGCGGCAGGAGGGCGCGTGTGGACCCATCGGACAATGTTTGGTGTATATTACAAATCTTACGTTCTGATTTCTTGTTATTTTCAGATTTTGTGAAGCTTCTCCTTTAGAAATGAAGTTCATGYTAGATGTGGAAGCGGGAGCAATGTACTGTTCGATTCACACAACTGAAGAAACGTACGTTGCCACAATTTAAACGTTTCTTGAATTGCGTGAATTTTAAAGATAGATTAGATGATATCTACTTGATTCGCTTTGTCTTGGTTCATGAAGTATCTGTTGTATATGCAGCTTTGAATTATTAAATTAAAAGTTACAGCTAATTTTGATGTTTGMTTTTTATTTCTATTCCCAAATCAGACCATTGCTTCTCTAACATTTGGCTTTTCGTCATTTATCGYCAAAGAAATAGTTGAAAGTAGTCTTCTTCACGGTTCCTTGCGACATCTTGAAAGGTAGCCGTGCCTTTGTGTCGAAAGCGAGACAACCGTTGAGCGTGCAATGATAGAAACCTTCTTTCACACCTACAGACAATTATTAACAGGTATCTATCATTGCACGCTCAACGGTCGTCTCGCTTCGATGTAAAGGCACGGCTACCTTTCAAGATGGCGCAGGGAACCGTGAAGGCGACGATTGTACACATCAATACGATACAGTGCGTTTTTATTTTCATTCCTTTTGCATATTTTAGTTTGTTCATTATATTCACTAGCCATTTAGCTCAGTAGATTAGCTGTACTATTTCGAAACGGCTGTCTCCATTTTTATATGTAACGTCCCCATCCGAGAACGTTTGTGATCGTTTCCTTTCCAAAAATGGTTCGTTGTTGGTTCTTCATTTTTTTTTCTGATTGGTTCAAAATCAAATATGGYGATTTGTCAGAAAATCGCGCAAAAATTCTTGGATGCACGGCTCTGAAATCCAGAGATGACAATGAAAACAACACAAAAAAAAACATTTTATTGTTAATTGACATTTATTAACTCCACACTATACTATAGAATATAATTTTTTTCAGTTTGTTTCAATACTATTTGTATTTTCAGTAAAATGATGAAAATGAATTTCAGTATATAGCAGGCAAGTGGACAATATGATCGACCTTGTCACGTGATACGATATCTCAAATAGCTGGAATRCGAAAAATGACTATTCTAGTTGTGGTCGTTTTCAAAATTGCGTCATTTTTGTCCACAAATCCCAGAATGCTCTTTTGTACACCAATCATTCTTAATACTGAGATTACGCAAAGCATTCTGGTCGTTATAGTGCAAGACGCCATATTGAAAATACTACTCATGTCAATAAGCTGCTACAGCTCTTCCTAGCGTAACTGTACCCCTATTAAGCCCCAGCAAGAACATTTCTAGAGCTCAAAATGACTGCATACAACATTTTAAAGCCTTTCACAGTATATGGTTATAAATGACGTAATTTGAGATGTTGATCGTTTTTGCTTATTTGCCTTGCATAGCCATCATCATCTTGATAAACTCTGAAATTCAAATAAGAATACTTTATAAACCTCTGGTTTTATGCAGCCCAAAAAAAAAATGAGATTTGACATTTAACTCATAAAGAAAGTGATAGATAGAATGGAATGGGAATTTCTTTTTCCGGCGTTTTGTTGTTGTTATTGTTTCGCTGGTTTCAATGTTGTTGTTTTGTTTTTGTTCTGTTACGTTTCCCAATAAAACGTATAAACGTTAGGTTTTAATAGTCAAAATTGTGGAAACTGAAGCGGTTAACTAGTGTGAGCTGCGTCAGTGTTTGTTTCTAAAAGATAAATTTTAACAACGTAAAAACGTAGGTGAAAAAACTTACTGACGTTTCGGACGTTAATCTCTCCTTCCCTTTACTCCGACGAAGAATTAGCGTCCGAAACGTCAGTAAGTTGTTTCGCCTACTTTTTTATCTTTTTACAAAACTGTTAGCTTTTAATAGGTTTTGATAGTAGAAGTATTGTGTTCATAAACGGTAGTTATAGTTCACCTTCGTAGTTCACTGTACCATCCCCGTCAGTATCTGCTTCTTTAATCATTTCTCCTACTTCTTCTTCAGAAAGTCTTTCGCCAAGGTTGTCCAGTACCTGCTTTAGTTCAGCTACTGTAATGCTTCCGTTGCCATCTGCGTCGAATATTTTAAAAGCCGCTTTGAGTTCGTCTTCGTACGATACTCCTTTTGTTCGGTTGGCCATAAGCTTTAGGAACTCGTCAAAGTCGATGCACCCACTGCCTGTAATGAAAATGGC